TCTATGAGCCTACCTAACTACCAGGCATCCACGCCTACTCCAGCCAGGGAGTCACCCCGGGGGCATACTCATTTTCCACACACATCACACAGCACTCCAGTCACGGAGGATACCCGGGGGCATCCCAACAAATCATTCCCCGCAAGAGAGCTGGCACACAATCCCCAAGGTTGGCCTGACCTTACCCCAAATTCTACAGGGGGTCAAACATACAGGGAGGTGGTCGAGGAACCAAGTCCCGACTACAACACCTCTAGCCCAAATCAGGGAGTAACTGAGTTTTGGGAAAGTACAGGAACCCACACAAGCCCGGACACAGAACGGGGTTCAGGGAATGGTCAGCCTCCTGACAGGTCTTGGACGGACCTAGGAGGTTCAACAGAGACGCCCAGCAGTGGCTATCACTTCAAGGGGCCCGAGGGTCTACAGCTAGGCAGGTCAACCAGGTCACAAAGTGACAGAAGCCCTGGCCTGACGAGCCCGGTGGGCAAGCAAGCAGGCCAGGCATCGGGGCACAGTCCTTGGAAGGCACCAAGGCAAAATAAGGAGAACAGGCTCACATCTCCCTCCAGTCAGGGAACTCATGCTAGTAACCCAGAGCTGAGAAGGTCACAGAGAGCAAAGAAGTCTCCTAAATACTTAGAGGATTACATAACATTGCTGGCTAAACAAAAGCCAGGTAACGATAGGAGCACTGAGAAGCAGAACACTGCATAAAATAAATGATTATATGTTGGTAGTAGTTTTAACCCGGGGGAAAGGAGTGTTATGTCCCGAGCCTTGCAAATGGCTCGGGCGTTTGCAGGCAGTCCCGGGCAGGTGCAAAGCTGCCCGGGACCAGACAGGCTGTCGCCAGCACCGTGCGCATGCGCGGGTGCTGGCGCGGGAAAAGTATCGCATTTACCCGGGAAATGTCTATATAAGAAGCTGGGAGGTTTTGGGAGCTGCTGAAGCCATCTACTTGTAAGTTGAACGCAGAATAAAGAAAACTGAGAACTTCAACTGCTTCTCGTGTCTGCTTTCCGCCAAGGACTCAACAGTTTGGTTAAAGTATTTTTGGAAGAATGAACCCAATGATATTCCTTAATATCCTTCTCCAATTCCCCATAGTTCTCCTAACAGTTCTATTTTCCATTCAATCAGTTCTTCCTTTTCCTCAAATGTTTTCTGCATTTTTGATGCCTTTTCCATTTCCGATATTATTGCTCCATCTTCTAGTTCTTCAGTTGTCTGAATATGTCAGTTAATTCTTCCTTTAGGTCCTTCATCTTTGGAACTGCTTCCTGCAGTTTTCCTTCTATTTTCTGAGTTGCTAGTTCCTTTTCTGTAGTCATGTTCTGAGTTTGTAAATTTAGATTAGAAAATTGTTCTTTTATCTCCTTTATGTTATTTCTAGTCTCACCATGAGCTAAAGCAATAGTCTCTTGTATTGATTTCAACATGTAGAGAATTTCTTTCTGATCTTCATCCATATTTTCTTGGTGGTAAATCAAACTGAAGACTTTGGAGATAGGTGTTAGAGATGGTTTTTTACCATTTAAAGCTGAGTATGGGACATCCATTTCATTTTTTGTAGGTGGTCTTTATAATAACAATGTCATGGTTCTGACAGATGAAATCCTTCAAAAGAACTTTGAGGCATTGTTTACCTTAAATAATCTTTTATTTGGGAAACAAAGTATTGGCACTACATCGTTGAACCCAAAAACTAAATTCCCCTCCCCTGGATACAAAGTAACAAAGTAAAATTCCCACCTCCAATAAACAGTCATAAATCACATTCCCCAATTAGCTTGAAGCGTGGGCTTCCTCCCCAGCTCTCCAGCCTGCGAAAACGCTATCAGCTTTGGGCCCAATGTCCTTGGGTTCTCATGACTGAGTTATTATTATTATGATTAGCTGGACTCTCATCCCTATCCCCCATCCCAGCATCAACTAATTCTAAAAGCATAGAGAAAATGGCTGCATTTTTATCTGTTGTCAAAGCAAGAACATCCAATGTTAGCAGCATTGACAAACAATTGTTCACCCACCAAAGATTTGTAATCCAAAATATTCCATCATCTCAAGCTTCTTCAGATCAGACATAAGGGCCTCCACCTTCCCGTGATCAACGAGGGTCTCCTCCTTGCTTGTCACCTCTATGGGGCTACTTTCAACCCTTTCCAGGGTCCCCAGTGGGGCAAAATCAAATGCAAAAGACAGAGCCAAGTCTGCTTACACCCATCTAGCCACAACATCAAAACTGGAAGCCCAGTTGGATGATCTTTGATGGGCTTCAGCAATGGCTCTGATCTGTGAATGCACTTGCCTGGACAGTCCAGAGTGTTCCCACTTTTTAATTAGCAAATGTTAGTTCAAAGTACAAAGCTTTCCATGAGGACAAGCCCAGTGACAAAGTTGTTAAATGGCATGCATACATATATAAAACTGTGGTTTCCCCTAAACTTAAATATACAAAATAATCATAAACTATTAAGAGTAGTGATTTTGAAAATTTTCCTGACAATGGATGTAAAAGTTGGTCAGATAGTTTGTCAAAGAAAAAGTGTTAATTAATATGTTACACGAATCTAGTAAAATTAAGTTTCTACCATTAAAATAAAGAGGAAGAAAGAAGGATAATATCTTTTCTAAAAGCTCTCTGTGGGCTCAACTGCACAGCCCAGTAATTTCTATTAAGATCACACCAAATACAAGTCTAGTTTAATCTAAAAGTTTATCTCCAGGCCCAGAGGAATTCTAGGTCTTTCTACATTCCAGCCTTCAATTTTATTGATGTACTTTAAGTTTCAAAGCTTCACATTGATCGTTCAAACTGTCTGTGTTTAAGATTCCCATCTGGAACATCACTGAAAATCAATAGCATTGCTAGATGTGTGTGCTTCTCTCTGTTTCCAATATCAATGTTTTTTTTAAAGCTGCATTCTTGGTTCATGAGAGCAACAGAGTTTAATTTTTAAAGAAGATATATTTGTTTTCATTGCATCTTGTATTACAACAAACAAATATACAATCCAATAGCAAAAGCACTAAGATACTGCTAATACTACAAAGATTAGGCAATACATTATTTGGGCACATGCAGAATCCAATTCACACATATCTTCCTTACCCGTTTGCAATAAACACAATTAGAACAGAACAGAACAGAACAGAATAGAACCTTGGAAGTCTTCTAGTCCAATCCCCCACTCAAGCAGGAGAACCTATACCATCTTAGAAAAGTGACTGTCCAGTCTGTCCAATTGAATATGTCTAAGTCATAATTTATTGCTGCAAATTTATTAACATCTGCAAAGATAATATAAACCATGTGGTTTTCAAACAGACTAAGTTTAAATAGGTAAAATAAGGTTGGAATCCATAAATCTTCAGTTATTTAATGTAAATTATGAAGTTTATATATTTTATTTTGAAATACAGACATACTAACATTTAGAAGGGGAACATGCTATATTCCATAAATACAAGCTATTTCAAGTACTATTACTTTTTAAAATGATTTAATTTCATCCTGTTGCATTTATGGGATGCCTCTTTGGAAGTATTTCAGAAATCTGGTGATTTGTCAGCACAGACTAGCTTCAAAACAAGCAGTAGAATCGTGCAGCTCATAAAATTTATCTGCTGCTCAATTTAACTGCTGTTTATGTGTTTCTTTTTTCAGATGAAAACATTAAGAACAAACTTTGGTGTAGTAAATGCAGGAATGAACACTATATCAGGAGAAGATCTTTAAGTTGTTGCAAAGATAATCTAAATTAAATTGCCTGATGGCATCTGTACAGGAGACATATAGTAGACATAGACTTGGAACAAAGGCAATCAATCAATCAATCAATCAATCAATCAATCAATATATCAGTCAGACTTGAGTATCTTTGGTGAGCCTGGAAAATTGACTGACTAATGATTTAAGCAATAGTTCAACTGATTGTTTGAACAGTTGAACTATGCCCAATGAGAAAGCAGAGATGGAACAAAATAGGGCATCTGGAATTCTAATGAAAACACTCCATGCCACAATAATTTGCTTTATGTTTCATTTTGTGAAATGTATGCTTTTTTGTATGTTTTTCAAATAAAAAAAAAATCAGAGGGTAACTGTGAGAAGGATCTCGGAGTCCTAGTGGACAATAACTTAAATATGAGTCAGCAGTGTGCTACAGCTGCCCAAAAAGCCAACACAGTGCTAGGCTGCATTGACAGAGGGATAGAATCAAGATCACGTGAAGTATTAATACCACTTTACAATGCCTTGGTAAGCAATGGATGGAAACTAACCAAAGAGAGAAGCAACCTAGAACTAAGAAGAAATTTCCTGACTGTTAGAACAATTAATCAGTGGAACAATCTGCCTCCAGAAGCTGTGAATGGTCCAACACTGGAAGTTTTTAAGAAGAGACTGGACAGCCATTTGTCTGAAATGGTATAGGGTTTCCTGCCTGAACAGGAGGATGGACTAGATCAGGGGTGTCAAACTGCCGGCCCGTGGGCCGGATGCGCCACACCAAAACTGTGCCCATCCCATTGCTGGCAATGGGAAAAAAGTTGCGATATGTCGTGACATGTCACATAATATCATGAGTTTGACATCAGTGGACTAGATGATCTCCAAGGTCCCTATCATCATCATCATCATCATCATCATCATCATCATCATCATCACCACTATCATCATCATCATTATTTAGAGACCATTATTTCAAGAGACAAAAATGCAAGAGTTTATTTTCTTTCCCTTACATGAGTTTCTTCAATACATTTTGAAGTGAAAACATCTTTCTATGTCCCATACTTCTCAATCAGTGTGATATGCACCTAATCCGGGCTCTTTTGATATTTGCAGAACTATGCAGAGATTAAGACTCATGATTATATATATAATCATGATTATATTTATGATTTGTGGATTTAGAATATGTAGAGGACTATCAGCCAATCAACAAAAAACATTCTTAATAAACATCCCATCCTCCCTTTTCTCCTCTTTGCAGATGGAAAAGAAATGTGTTTGTAATGGAATCTCTGGTTAGAGTGGGGAGGAGGATGGCTAGCTTAAAGTCATTCCATGGGAAGAAGAGACAATGCCAGAGTCTTCAAACCTTTATCTACCTGTTCCCAAGAGAATGCAGTTAGTCTGGCAAGATTCTTGTAAGTAGAAGAATGTTAACGAAACTACTTTGATACATTCACAACATCAATCTCATTCCTTCTGCCTGACAGTTTCATTTCTGTTTGTCCACATTTTGTGAAATTAAAGAGTTTTTATCATGTCTTTTGACTGCTAGTTAATGTTTATGGATGTGTTCTGTTGATCTTCTGCCTGTTTGGCTAGGGGATTCTGGGAGCTGAAATCCATACAGCTTAAGTTGCTGGGGTTGACAAACGCTACTCCGCACAACCATACTGAGCATCAGTTGTGAAATGTTTGTGAAGAGTAGAATTTGTGTGCTTGAACTGAGTTAGTGATGTTTTTACTAAGAATTAAACATGAAAGTATAGTTATCAGACCAGGAAATTAAACTCCATGTAAACCATGAATTGGAAGTTTTATGAAACACCTGCTCTACTCTCATGTCTACATAAAAGAGGAGTCTGTGGATGGTGAAGTCTCTAATTAATCTTTTGGCCTAGAAATAGAAAATGAGACCCTTATTGCAGGTGTTGCCTATGGAACATGATGGGAAGGATACTATGGAAAAGCAGACAAAAAAACCATGCTAAAGGAAAGATAGATCTGATTCAGAATAAGGGGAAAATGAGCAAACTAGATGAAGTTCTTTGTCTGGCAGACACTTCACATTATGCCTTAGTTTGATGCACTATTCTAAAATATCACCATCATTTGTTCCTATTTATTTATTTATCCTTGATTAGATTGCACATATTTAGTAAGTTTAATAACTTACTTTCAGACTAAAAAATAATAGAATGTATTCTTCCTGGATAATTTCTTTATTGAAGGTTGGATTGCTATAGAAGAAATCAGACCATCTAAAGAATGTCAGAATATAAATCCACTCACTGATGGTTATGTCCAGTCATTGTCCAGCTCCCAGAATTACACCTTTCCAAGCTTATATTAGCAAGCCAGAAAATTGACAATATCTTCATCAAAGTAGCTGCTGCTATTACTGTCACAAAGAGCTCTTGGAATAAATCCCATATGGCCAGAATCCTGAACCTGTTATGAATTATGATTGAAAATGAGCTTGAAATAGTTCTAGCTGGAGCCACCAGATGCTGCTCTAGAGATTCTGATATTTGACAGATATGTGTCAGCCCACCAATACAGTTAAGTAATGAACAGTTGCAAAGGAGGGAGAAATATGTTTGAAAATCAAGATCAGTTTTTACAAATGCTTCATATAGCACCCAGATGATTGATTAGCAGACAATATAGAACTGCGATTTGCAGAATAACATCACCTAAACAAAAACTATAGTTTGTTTTTCTGCCTTCAGTTTGTAGCAGACTTCCCCAGGCTGATGCCCTCCCAGAAATTAGGATTTCAGCTGTCATATGATTCTACAATGTTTAAGATAATTGGTATGTTGTTTTGGGATTATGAAAGCTAAAGTCAACAAAACTGGAAGACATCTAACTTCTGACAGCCTTGGACAGAATGATTTGCTTGGCCAATTAGGTTTGCTATATCTATGGAGGAAATCTTATGCATGCAAAAGTGCCTGCGTCCAGATTTAGACTAGTTACATTTTGGCTGAGGAATTGCTATTTTATAAAGAAATTAAGGGTGAGAATAGCTTTATTGTTCCTGCTAGTTTATTCAGGCATTTGGTACCTCTGAATACCTAACAGCATGAGCAGGGCTTATGTCTTTTTCTTCCAGGACTACTTTAGTCTACTTAGGTAGAACAATAAATAACCATCAAGATGGCTAACTGATGGACAACTGTGAAATTAGCCATTACCTAATCATGTTTTACAATTCATTTTTCCTCTAGCATGCTTCTGCAACAGCTTAAGTTAGACTTCTACAATCTTTTTTTTTTAAAAGTATTTTATTAATTTTCTTTTATAACAATTCATTAGTGCTTAATAAACAATGTGTTGTCTGGGTTGATTGTTTGCTTAGTAATAAAAGTTAAGTTCTTACTCTCTATCTCATTTTTCCAGCCATTGATAAAATAAGTTCCATGTTTGAAAGTATTCAGTGTCTTTTTTTCCTTTGATTCTCAATGGAAATCTATCCATTTCAGCACAATCCAGTATTTTCTTGATTATCGCTTCATCCAATGGTGTTATCTCATTTTTCCAGTGCTGAGCAAATACAGTTCTTGCTGCTGTTAATACATGTAATATTAAACATACACTTTATCAAATTTTTCTGGAATTATACCTAATAAAAAAATTTCAGGTTTAAAATCTTCGTGTTTCCCTACCAGCTTTTCTAACCAAGGATGAATTTTTATCCAATTTTTTTTGCTTTAACACATGTGTCCATCACAGGTGATAATATGTATCAGGATTTTGGTTACATTTCCAGCATTTACTAGACATATTTTAAAACATTTTGCTAATCTAACAGGTGTAAGATGCCATTTATAGAACATTTTATATATGTTTTTTTATATGAAGTTGCCATGTCAATTTATAGTTTCTTTCCCAAAGATTTTGCCATTTCTCTAATTCTATATTATATCCACTTTTTTGCCCATATTATCATTGTTTCTTTCATTTGTTCATCTTCTATTTTCAGATTCAATAAAAAGTTATACAAATTTTTAAATCAGTTTTTCATCAGAAGTCAACAACACCTGATCAAACATTGTCTGATCTTTATAAAAACCATATATTTTAACATCTTTGTCATACCTCGGTTGCATTTGCAGTCGAGGCCACCATGATAAGTCAATACCCTGATCTTCTAACTCTTGTATAGATTTTAGTTTCCCATCTGTATTCAGAATATCCTTATATGTTAGAATTTTCTCAAATTTAACTAAGTTGGGTGAATGGATGCTTGCATCATTGATAGCCATCCTAGGATTTTTGTATAGATCTTTGGTTTTATCTTTTCCCATACCAATAATAATAATGTGTTTCTTATATAGTGATAGACTACTACAATTCTGAAGCTTTCCAGTTATATTAGACCAATTTCGTAGCCAATATATCTAAAGTATTCCAGGTTGAGATAGACTAATATACACATTCACATTTTTGGGATTAAATAGGGAGGCCATTCTTTTTTATATGACTGTACCAGTAGAAGCTTTGGCACAAGCGAATCATCTTTCATCTGTCAACCTCATGCAGTATATTTGTTGCATACAAAGAGTGTTGAATTTAAATTAACTTTAAATTAACTTTTCAGTTTCTAAAACAACCCAATGTATTAAATTGCCACTGATCACAGCGATACACAAGCTGAGCCATCTCACCCCAATGGGACTAGCCCCTTCACTTATTCCAGCAAAAAGATATATTTTGGATCTTGTCTGCCAAAGAATTTTGGCTGGTGAGGTCCAGGAGAAGAGCTAGAATATTGTCCCACTGGAGATGAGGTCTGCCCCTATACTCTTGGCCTTCTAGAAGAGCCTAAAAATTGGGCCCTACTGCTTAGCCTGAGACTCTAACAGGTGCCTGCTACACTGGGGGTATCTGATGGAGTAAAGAAGATCCCCACCCTCAGGCCTCCTAGCTTTTTTGCTTAATACTTCTAATGTTAATTGCCATGTATTAGCTTTTAAAAAACTTTTATTATACTGTATTGTAAGTCATCCAGAGTCATTGTCTCAGTAAAATGGGCAGCATAAAAATTTAATAAACAAAAAGCAAAATTCTTAACTTTCTAACAAGAATTTTCAGGAGATTACTAGAGCACTGCAGCTTTCTACAACTAAAGCTTTCCCTTTAATAAATGCTGGTGTGTTTGCTCCCCACAATGAATGACAAACTATCCATTGCCTTTCAGCTGGGGTGAGATTAGTTTAAAGTGTGTACCCGCAGCAAACTCACAGAAATGGTGGACGGTGACAATTGCTTAAAAGACAAAATGCTATTATCACTAATAGCTTATTGCTACAGCAGAATAATAATGACAATATTTGGTCCAAAATGAGACCACTCCATCATCTTGTTCTTTAAATTAAGCTTGATGCTGTTTTTGTCTGGGAGTCATTTTAATGAAGCATACTTGCTGAGTAACATTGGTATATCATTCATTGGATGCTTTCATTTATTGCTAAATAATACATTCATCAACCACGCCCACCCCACTGCTGGCAATGGAAAAAAGTTGCAATACGTCGTGACATGTCACATGATGTTGCGAGTTTGACACCCCTGATTTAGATGATATTATCATAGTAAACATATATTATAGGATACATTAATATCTGATAGGTCAAGATACCAACAGTGTAATAGTTTATTAACTGTAGTTCCAATTCATTCTGAGAAATGTATTACCTTGTGACTGATACACTTTTTTTTTTTTTTGGTAAAGAATGGGATCTGTTTAGTAAAAACACTGATGATTGGATGAGGTTATGATCAAAGTGTCTTTTCAAGGAAAGACACCACTAGAAGATGTTTCAGGAGAACAATATGATTTCAAGGGTGAGCAGAAGTGCAGAGTGCTTCTGTTTCTTGCTCTAACCAAGCCATCTGGTTATGGAGATTCTCACAGTCATCCAGATCATGGTTGTCCCAAAGGTGCTTTTTTTCAAGAGGCAACTGGACTTTCTTGTTTTTCTTTGAAGATGTTTCACTTCTGGATGAGAAGAGAAAATGTCTTCAAAGAAAACAAAGAAAGTGCAGTAACCTCTTGAAAAAGCACCTTTGGGACAAAGCAATCTGGCCTATCAAGATATTCAATTTTCCACTCCAGATCACCAAGTCATCTAAAATTCTGTGGCCACTGAACATGCTAACTTGGCCATCCATTTTACTAATTTCTTTAAAAAATGTTTTTTTAAAAATTAATATTCTACTTTTGAATTTTTTGTAATACGGACTTAGCAAATTCATGGAGCATAGGTAATGTATACTCTCTTAAAGACAATGTGCATAGGATACTAACTACTAAGAGTAGCAGAAGATCATCATCTTCATGTCCTGTA